GCCCATCTGGAGATCAAGATTTGTTCAAATATGTCTGTTTATAACAAGTACTCATGTGTCTGCATTTTTCTGTAGAAAGGCATATAGTCATTTTTAAAAAGAAAATAATTTGATTAAAAAATCAGTTTATTTTCAAACATGAACTTTCTGTGAGTAGCAGGGTTATTTTTATAAACATAGTCTTTGCCCAAATGTTTCTAAGCCATTGGCTTCCCAGTGCTTATTTGCAGCTGGCAGGAATGTCAGCAGATTCCCCTGAGCACGTTTCAACGTGCATTTGCATATTGGTTTTGCAGTCATGAGCCTGAGATTGGCAGAAGTTTGACTTTTGGGCTCTTACAGTCTGTGAATTTTGTTCATATTTTCACTGTCTGCATTTCGACCAAGCCAGGAGAGCCTTAGCTTCTCACAGTGTCAACTTCCAAGCACACCACCTCCACCACCACCCCTGCTTGTTGTGGAGTAAAAACTTCGTGTGCGTTGCCACGCTTCAGGTGACAGTCACCTCATACGTTGCTGCCTGAGGGGTCGGTTTGGTTCTGCATTGGCACAGCTCATCTCAAAAACCGGCCTCTCACGGTGTGTGGTACGCGCCCAGGTGAGCAAGGGTGATGAGGATGTGAAGGCTCCTGCTGGAATGGACCCCTTAGACTAAATCCTACCAATGGCGGGTTTTTTTGTGTTTTATTGTCTTCCCCTCCCTATTTCTGTGTGATGCTGAATCAAGTCAGCTACTGGGAAGCCTCGGCTGGTTGTTTGTTGTCTGCAAGATGATGTTCCTCTTCTCCTGTGATTCTTGGGGTGTTGGAATAAACAAGGGAGCACATCTGAGCACTCTTGTGTATTTATGACAGCCGAAGGGCTTGACCCCACCTTTGTATGTTGTTCTGTGCTGGCACAGGGAAAGGTAACATGCTATGGACCCCTGTCCAAGGCAGCATGGCATGTATGCATCTTCTCCTGGCTTTGGAGCCTGCAGTAACTCAAGTCCTGTTCTCCTTTTCTTTTCCTGTAGCCATCCTTGGCATGCACACCTTGATGAGTAACCAGCAGTACTATGAGGCACTGGGGAGCAGCACCATCGTTAACAAAGAAGGGCTCAACAGTAAGTGATTTAGAGAGTTAGCAGGCTGCAGTGTTTGGCTTTGAAGCTACTAGCAGAGGCAAAGTGGAAACTATTTTTGGGCTGAAGGTTGAAGCTGTGCCTATCAGAGCAGACTGTGATTGCTGGGTCCACCTCTGGTGCATCCTTGCCCTGTGCAAGCCAATGCAGTCTCAGCCACCGCCTGGCACCGTCTGGGAGCTAGCACAGCCCAGGGAATGGCCCCACGCAGCCAGCCTGCCCTCCATCATTCAGTTTTGGACCCTGAGAGCGCGTATCAGCAGGCACCAGCTGTCCTGTGCTGGTTGGCCCTGCTGCTGGAAACACGTGAGCATAGATGGAGCTGCCGAGTGCTTGTTGGGTCTTTCGTCTTGCATCTGTTTGTCAGGTCATGCTTCCCTCTCCCAACACTGCTTCTGGAAGAGGAGAAACACACCCAAAGAGAACATGTTGCGGCACAGGGTGCTTTCAGTTTCACGTGTCTTGCCATTCACTTGCAGGTGTGATTAAGCCCACAAAGTACAAACCAGTTCCTGATGAGGAACCAAACTCTACGGATGTGGAGGAAACTCTGAAACGAATACAAAGCAATGATCCTGACCTTGAGGAAGTCAACCTTAACAATATTATGGTATTTGCTCTTTTCTACTCTCCTCTTTTAGTAACAGGACCAAACATGTGACACGCAGAAGGCAGAGACAAAGCCTGTTTTGCTGCGCAGAGTAATACCGTAACACTGCATGTAGCCAGACAAGAGACACCAGTGCTTCCCTTCTCTGTTTTGGGCAACAGGGGTTGTCACCTGCTGTGGGACAACAGTGTGGGGTTGGTAGCAGGAGGACTTCTGTAGATGCCTGGAAGAGTGGAGCTGTGTTGAGGGTAGTTTGGAGATCTGTCTCCAGCCTGTCTGGTTAAAGGCATTCTAGGCTGATTTAACGGTTTAGTGTGGCATGTTCGGTGGAGGGCTGTTTATGTAAGATAAAATGATGGGAGGAAAAAGGCTTCATAATCCTGACATTTTCCAGGAAAATATGAAGAAACCTCCCTCCTTGCAGGTAGCCCTGTCTGTCTCCCACCCACCCCTTCTGTGGGACTCCTTGACTTCTTGTAGAAAGCAAATCAAGATACAGCGCCACTTCTTATGTTGCCTCTGGGACACACACACATACTAAAAAATAGTTTCCATCTCTCCTCCCTGACTCCAGGACCGCCATCGCATGGGGTCTGTTGAATCGTGACACAGTTAAATAGCAAGAACGTCGTTAACTGCACGCACACTTTAAAAACACTTGTGCCATGCCACCTGCAGCTTTCTATAATAAAAAGATTTTTACTTTTATGTATGTGATTCTGGCTAGTGACCCTGAACGTCCCTTGAGGACACTAGGCTGAGAATCTGGCAGGCAGGCACTTTTTTTTGTGTGTAGGACTCATGACTTTGGGACATGATTTGGAGAACTGGGGAGTGGCAGTGGAGATGGTATGCTGCTGAGCGCTGTGTTATGGCTCTGCAGATGACCTTGGCTGTAGATGATTCCACATGGTGGCATCCAAATGGTGTGGCAGGAGGTCCAAGCTGAAGATACCACCTAAAATTTTTGACAGTTAAAAATTTTTGCGTCTGAAAGGGGTATCTAAAGTGCTCGAGAGTGAAAAATATTCATTTTGTAGGAACTCAAAATAAGCAGCATGGATTTATTTTCTGAGCTGAGACCTTGCATGGCAAATGTTAGCCTGAAAGATGTCATATAAAGCAGCCAGAAGTGTCTGTGGTTTGTACTAGTAGGAGATCATTTCAAGTCTTTCTGGATCAGGCCCCGTAGGTGGACATTTTCCTGAACATGACATGAATGTTGCTCAGTGCTGTCATTTGCATTAAAAAGAGCAGGAGCAGTGCTTTGTAGGCTCATGGATCCTAGTTACATACATCCCCATAATGCCTGCGTTCATAAGTAGCTGAGTTTCTGGGCAATTAAATTAAACAGCAGAGATGTAGCTTCCAATCAAGGCAGTGAGCTATCAGCAGAGTGGGAAATAGGATGAAGACATTGCCACACACCTGATTAGAGCAGGAGAACTTGTAAAAACATTTATCGCCCCCCTTCCTAAATTACTCCAGTGCACTTGGTGATTTGACCTTGATAACAGATTTAAAGTATTGTTTAAATGTATTACATATTCCTTCATACGGATGATGGCCTAACAGGTTTTCTGCATTTCTTTTTCACAGAATATTCCCATACCAACTTTAAAAGCTTTCGCGGAAGCGCTGAAAAATAACACCTATGTGAAGAAGTTCAGTATAGTTGGGACACGGAGCAATGATCCTGTTGCTTTCGTAAGTACGGTCGGCTCATGGTCATAACGTTGTGACAGGAGCTGTTCTCAGGCAAGGTATTTTTGGAGTTACCAACTGACTGCTTTTGCACCTTACGTCATGCCTGGCATGTTCTGCACCTCTGGCGTTTGGTGCAGGTGCTTCAGTTCCAGGAGCGTGAGTGAAAGCCAGCGACAGACAGGCTTCGGTACCTCCGCTTCCTGTTTCAGCTGCAGAAATTTCAGGACACGGTCCTTCAATCCCATTTGGTCTCATATTCATCCTCAAGGATCTCCTGGAAAAGGAGGAGACAAGAACTGGCTTCTTAGTGGCATTTTGTAAAAGCAGTTTGTCTCTCTTGATTTATCCTACAGCAGGGCCGCCCCATTTGTTTCTGTTGGTGCAAAGCCATGTGCTGCTGTGTGCACACCTGTCCTTCCCCTTGCACATGGCTGCTCCAGCTCTTTCCTGTATTCCTTTGTGCAGAGCTGTGCAGAAGCAGGACGCCGCATTTCTTATACGTGGCCTCTGTGAATGACAAAGGGTCTTTCTGGCTGCTGTGAGTGGTCCTAAATATCGGTGGGGATGCAGAAAAGTGCTGAGCTGTTCTGCCTGGCCCATGTGCTACCTTCCAGGCTGCGTCCTTGCACACTTTTCCAGCACCGCTGCAAACAGTTTTTGTTCTTCTTCACCCAGGCCATCCCTGCCTACCTCCATGCACACGTGTCCACCAGTTTCCTGTTAGAAAAAAACTTATTTTTGGAGCATGTGTACAGCCCTTACATTATTTCAGGCACTCTGGACTGGAGAAGAAGCCTGTGGAGGCAGCACTGGCCCTGTTTGAGGGCCCGTGGGTCACTGTGCAGAGCTAAGGGAGCTCTGGAGCTGTGCTGTGTGAGTGGGTGCAGGTCAACCCTGCTGCGTGGACATCACTTTCTGGTCCTTCTGTTTCATGGCGTAGATGGGTCCTCCCATGCATCTTATGAAATGAGATCATCAGATCAAGTTGGGGGGGAGTTGGGGGTGTGCCAGCCCACCTCTGGTCTTACTCGCTGAGGGAAGCAAAAGTGATTAATATGGTTGCGATGCTGCTTGGGAGGATGTCTTGGACATGGGGAGTCCCTTGTTGTTCAAGACAGGTGCTCCTCTCTCTGCCTGCTGTGGTAGGAAGCATCTCAGCCCCACACAGAAGGAGCAGTGCAGGCAAGGAACTGATCAGGCAGGAGGCAGGGCTGATGCTGGCCAGCATCCCTGCTCATCACCATGCTGGCTTTAGGAGAAGGACAGATGAAGCTGTCACGGGGTAGCTGCAGGTGTGGAAGGTCGCCTTTTAGGGTGGCCCTAAGGGTTTCTCCATATGAGATTTTGCTGCAGCCTCCAACATCCTCACGTTCAAGAATCCCCCTGCAACAGTGGAGAACCCCCTTCACTGGCACAGACCTCACCCATCTGGTGTCACAGAAACCGCTCGGCACACGGGGTCCTCCCAGTGTCCTCCAGAGGCGAGGGGAGTTGAACCCCTGCTGCTGCGGAGTGCTCTGCCCCTGCCTCTCTGACTGCCAGCTCTTCCCACCCACCTCTGCCCACAGGCACTGGCAGAAATGCTGAAGGTCAACAACACGCTGAAGAGCCTGAATGTGGAATCAAACTTCATTTCTGGGTTGGGGATCCTGGCTGTTGTCGAAGCACTCCAGGGCAACACATCACTCATAGAGCTGCGCATCGACAACCAGGTAAAGCGTGCGGGAGCGGGAGCTCTGATCAAGTGAACGTGTCCTGTTTGTGGGAAATGGAGCAGCTGGTCAAGGCAGAGGGTGGCAGCCTGCTGCAACTGCCAGATAGCTTTGGAGAGGTTTCAGCCCCTTGTTTCTGCTGCAGTTCCTGGGCATTATCTGCTCCCACTTGCAGTAATTAACAGAGGCTGTGACAGTGGAGAGCGGTGATGCACCTGCCCAGTATCATGCCTTGCTCCGAGTTCTTGAGAGGACTTAAATAATTATGTCTATTTAGTAAAACTGAAATTTTTGCTACAATGCGAGAGAAAGAGGAGGACAGCTCCAGAGTGGGCAGTGGTACAGATGCCATGGCAAATTTCGCTCCTCTGAAAATCCAGGGGGGGTGGTAGTGAAGCAGCTGCTCCCCTGAGCAGTAGGGGAGCTCAGGGACAGGTGACTGGGAGTTCAAAATCCTAGTTTCTCCAGAGGTATCTTAGCTGCAGATCTGTCCAAGACATAAAGTCTTTGGGCAAGAGGACTTGTGGGAGTGTCTGCTGGAGGAGTGGGAGCCACTCGGTTGTACCAGGAACAGACTAGTGGTTTGTTTCACCAGCTCCAAGTCAGAAATGCCCAATGGATCAACAGGTCCAAAGGAGGGAAGGCGTGGAAATGGCAGATCTAAGTGCTCACTCTGAATCACCTTCTGACCTGACCAGCTTGCTTTTTTGTTTTCAAAAGAGCCAGCCCTTGGGCAACAAAGTAGAAATGGAAATTGCAGACATGTTGGAAAAAAACACCTCCCTGCTGAAGTTCGGGTACCACTTCACTCAGCAAGGTCCGCGGCTCCGCGCCTCCAATGCCATGATGAATAACAACGACCTAGGTGAGTTGGGCTCACTGCAAGCCAGGAAGCATGGAAAGGTCCTGTGGGCAATTCGTCATGGGAGAAGGGCAGAACTGCTCACTCAAAGGCTCTGGGGGATGTGCTTGAATTAGAAACCACCTCTTGAAGGGCCTGATGATGCCTTGCCCCTCAAGGAGGAAGGCAGCCTTCACTGACTGGTTGCCTGATGCAGCTGTCGTTGGCCAGGCAATGGCTTGTGCTCCAAACTGAGGCACCAAGCAGCTAAAACTCCCAGAACAGTCAGCATTTTTGGCAGTAGCAGTGGGTCTTGTTGGGAAGGAGCGAGAGCTGCTAACGTGCTTCGATACGGTGCGTGATACAGCATATGGCACACGGGTCGTGAGCTGCCAGCACTTGTGATTCCTGCCAACTGCTTGTCTTCCTTCAGCTTCGTTCCCACTTTAACAAGGAGATGAAAAGTAGTAGAGTTGAACTTTGACGGCAGTGGGACTTGGCCCATCCCCTTCAGCAAAACAAATTGGAAGTGTTTCTAGAGAGAGGTGGGAAGCCACGTGGCTTCGAGTTATCTTTATACCCTCAGTGAAGTGATCAGAAGTGCTTGTGAAGCAAAACGTGCGCAAGTCTGCAAACTGCTGTTGCAGCCAATGCATGCGGCAGAGGCTTTCCATTGCTTGGCTACAAGCTGCTGTAGAGCACTGGAAATCAGTCCAGCAGAGCAGTATTGAATGCAGCCCACGTACCAGCCACGCTGTACTCAACGGCTCCTAACTGCATAGGCAGGGCGGTTACAAACTGACAGCACCAAACTCCTCCTAAGCAGCGGCAGACAGTATATCCAGGAGGAATAAGCAAAAGTTTCCAGATTGTCATTTTTCTACATTAGGAAGAACCTCCTTACCGGGAGGGTGGGGGTTGGCAAGACTCAGAGGGACAGAGCCAGGACCTGCCCTGACCCAGTGTGCTCGGCAGAGCCCTGCTGTGAGCTGGAGGTTGGGCTGGAGGCGCCCAGGGACACTTGCCCCACCATTAGCACTGCTGGGTTCTGCCAGACACATCTAGAAAGCAAGGGCTAACAGGCAAGGTCTGAAGAAAGACCTAACATATAAATGCCAGCTGTAAAGAAATGGTGGAAAACTGGAACCATATATTTTCATCTGCATATGGTTCACCACAGACAGGGTCTTCTGTCCCTTCGTGAATCAACTTCAGGTTTAAAAGCCACAGAAAAACAGCTTTAAGTGGTTGCCATGTTTAGACAGATGATAAATATGTCGTGTTTTAAATAAATAAATAAAATTTTAAAAAATCAATCTTGTTTCAGCCAGTACTGTGCTCCTAGGAAGCACAGCCAAGTATAGAGGTATGTGACAGTTCTTGTGGGACCACACAGAATAGTCGGTACTACGGTTCACTGTGTATTTATTCTGCTTGCGGCGGCCTTCCTGGTCACTAGAGAGCTGCCGCAGGAAGGGCTTGCGTTTTCTGTCCTTGGGAACAGAGCAAGATTTTTAATGACCACGCAGCACCTGGCATTCAAAGTAATCAGCTGGCAGATTTGAATCTAGCATTTCAATTGTTCCTGCTGTTACGGGGAGGAATTCACAACGTGCCTTCCACATAACAGTTGTGCATTTTGCCTCTTTGACCGTTACGATCTGCATTTTTTGTCTGATTTGGTTCTTGTTTGCAGCTCGTATTCATCAGTCTGGTGGTCTCTGGCAATAGCGCCTCAGCTCTACACCTGGACAAAGTATAAGTATAGAAAAAATTTATTTTCCTCCTTGTCAGCAATAGCTCTCTGCTTGTGCTCTGCTCCAGTGCTCTTGCCTACCATCACCCGATGCTACCAGAACTTGGTTTTGGTCCTATAGCTTCTGTTCTCTAAGGTGCTCTATACGAACCAACTATGAAGGCTTTTACATTCATCCTCATGAGCTAACTTCTGCATCCTCTTTATACTTTTTTTCCCCCTTTTTTCCTCGTGCACATTTCTTGAAAAGTCATGAGTGTAGCTGTCAGACCTGTAAATCAACTTGAAGAGTAGATATGAGACTGTTTTGACCATGTTAACCATGATCAAAGGGCCGGAGGCTAAAGGCTTAAGATAAAAAATGAGAGCATTTATTTATTTATTTATTTATTTTTTACTTTTCATTGTATTTGAAAGAGCAATTGAGGAAAACTAGCAAAGGAAAAACTGTGGCATCCATCTCCTGCTGTCTTCACATCAGTCAGCATCATTACGATGCTTTGGCCAAAGTCAGATTACAAAGACAAACAGTGTGAAATATAATTGACTGTAGAATAAGGGAGGTAAGGCTGAAAGTAGCTTCTGATCTTAAAAAATTCAGAGGGAGAGAAACCTTATCTTATCTTCCTTGATTTTAAACTGCATAAGACTGTGCCTGCTGCTTAGAGCAGGAATCCAGAAGCTGATGCTATCCTGTTTCTTTCCTGGCAGAAAGTATGTTTCTCAGCTCCTTTCCACAGCGGGTAAGCCAAGCCTGCCATCCACATCTTCCCACTGCCATGACTGACTCCTCTTTCTCTTCTTTTTCAGTGAGGAAGAGAAGACTTGCAGAGTTGAATGGGCCTTTTTTTCCCAAGTGCAGAACTGGAGTGTAGTTCCTGCCTATGGAGGTCATTCCCGGTGATCTGTCCTGCACTGTGGAAATCTAAAGGCGATAAGTGCCTTGACAGAGTATTTGTGGTGCCTCGGTTCTGTTTTATGCACTAACAGTTTAAATTAACTAGTGGCTGTAGTTGAAGATTTTATCCAGTAGGACTGTTGATGTTTTCTGTAGAATTGGAAACTATTCAAGCCAGTAACGACCTGCCAATTTTAGGCAATCTCAGTTTAGAGCACATCCCAGTGTAAAAGTGACTCTTAATTAACACTGGGAACTGATTTTTCCATAAACTTCCTGTGTAGTGTATCATGCAGTTAGGATGTGGTATGCATGAGTGAAAGATACAACTGTTCCACACAAATTAGAGAAGTATTAAAAAAATACTTTATTTTTTTTCTCCAAATCAATCTCAAGTAACTATAGAGGAGCAACTAGTTTAACGAGCACTTCTACCACCTGGAAACATGGCTAATTTCAAGAATTGTGAATTACAATTTTTTACCGACATTTGCTGAGTCAGTTAGTTGGAGATGCTGTTTCAAATGCATCCCTGTGTTTCTTAGAAGAAATTAATCTCCACCTCCTGATTAAATGGAATTTAAGGCCACCAATTGTAAAACAGTCTCAAAAACTGAGCGGTTTAGGATGGGTTAATATCCTTCTATCCTACATATGTCTGAAGAAAACAATCACCTATGATGCAAATTCTGACCCCACAGAGATGACCAAACTAATCAGCAAACCAGAACCCTCTCTTCTAATCGCCACTCCCTTCAGTTTCCTAACACTAAAAGCGTGTGTCCAGATGGTCACTGGAAACGAGCCAAATTATGTCTTTTCACCATTTTGTCTAGATGACCATGTCCATTAATTAAATTTTGTTCTGCTAGGGATTCCTGTCCCTAATGCCTGCAAAAATGCAATGACACACGCTGTGCCCTAGAAAAGCAGTTGAGGGAAATACCCCAACTCTGAACTTACACTGCATCCAGTCTGACAGCTTTTTGTCAGGCAGTCTACACCAATCATCGAGCCTGGGAGGAATTCCCCACAGGCTTACGTAGTTCCCAGACAGTGGATTGAACCCAGCACTATCCCATGCAAAACTCCCGCTATTAAAGTGGGTGAGATCCTGCTCGGTAGGAAAAGTCTCCTGGCATTGCCGTAGTGAAGCCTTGCTCTTGGTCTGATGACAACGTGTCCTAGAAAATGTTCCCGCTTGATAGAAATCTGCATCTGTTCAGAGTGAAGTTTTGCAGCCTTTTACACATGTTCCAGCAAAAGTCCCACAGATTCCTTCAGAGCTTGTGCTCAAGTACCACTCGTGATTTAGCTCTGACCAACAAAGCAGAGAAACACTATACTTTCAGCAATGTGGGAAACGTATTTGTTGCTCTTCAAATCTTAATAAATGTGCCAGTGGTGTCAAATAAAATGCTTCACTATAGCTTCTTCCCCCAACTCTGCAAGTTCCATATCAGAAAATGAAAAGAATACAGAAGAGAAATCCTTGAAAACTTATTGAAAAAAACCCCAAACCAACCAGCTGGCAGACAGCCCCTTTCCTCCATGTGCACTGCAAAGACTTTGAAATGGTCAACTAAATTATCAAGCCAGAGCCACAGTTCTGGCTGAGCCATCCACTCAGACTTGCATGGTACAGGCTCAGCTCTTCCATTGGCTTCAGAAGAATATAAACAAATCTAATCCTGGGAAATCCTGATGGCGCTAAGAAACCCAGACATGCAAAGAGATGCATCTGTACAGCCACTACAATGGACACACAACAATATTTTTTCCTGAATGAAAAAAAAATAACCTACACAAAAAAAAAAGCAAGAACCTAGTCCCATGTTTCACTGTACCAGCATCCAAATTAACCATGCAGCCCAAAGGTACATTAAGTTGGCAGGATCACTCCAGGTTCCTCAGCTGATCCTTACAGCTGCTTTGCTGAAAGATGCATGTGAGAGCAGAGTGCTGTGCAGTAGACAGTCTGTGCTGAGAGGCATCAGGCTTTGTGGTGAAAGGCATCGAGCTGTGCAGCGATGGAGCTACAAAACGGTGATATTTAGAAGCAAATGGATCACTCTTTGTCCCACCAGCTGTCCAGGAAAAGGGGAAAAAGCCACCAGCTGACTGCAGCATCTTAAGTTAAGCAATCCTGCTTAACTGTCACGTCTCCTGGAGCTAATGTGCCTTCTCTCAGGCATTACGACTGAAATGCCTGAATCCCAGCACACAGCATTTCACGTGGCAAGTCCTCGTTTGTATTAATCTTACAAAACTAATCCAGAAGCCAGGATATAGAAGCTGCTTATGGGCTAACTTGCAAGAGGGGGGCTAAGGATGACTCTTCCCCCCTCCTCCCCTCCTGGCAGCAGAGGAAACCTGTACATCTCAAACCATTCTCCTCTCTTGCCTTAGTGCAGCAAGGACCAGAAGAGGCCCCATGGCTCCCCTCTGTCTTTGAGGTAGAATCTCCAGCTGCCAGGAGCTCTCAGCAGAATTGTGCCTTGTAGCCAGGTCTACCATGTGGCAGACAGCTACCTAGGTTTCAGCATTTACCTCTGCAGAATTGAGCACCTCCAACATACAGATGAAGTATATTTGTGCAGTATTTAAAAAAATACGATGGAAGCACTAAAGGTTATTGTATCATCATAGTTTCAGAAGTTTACATATAAAATATAGTTGTTGCCATTCTGCACTGATAAGTGATGCAGAAACAGCCTTCAAATAGATTACAGTGTTCCAAACTTGCCAATAGACTGAATTATAAAAGCGTGTTCCTTTTAGCCTAATACATGAAGAAAAGAGAGGGCACAATATGCAAGTTGGGGAACTCCCATCAGTGCTCTAGACCAGGGCTGCAAGTTTTTCCACAACAAACATGCAGAGCTTGCATGTTTTTCCACAAGTATTCCAGTTCTCAAAAGCACAGAGGTTAACTGGCCAGCAAAGCTTGGGAGGCATGGATACTGCTTCGACTTCTGCTGAAGATGTCTACTGATGGGAATTTTCCAGTTTCTGGTCCAGTGTGGACTGTGCAGATTTACTATTAAATACCATCCTAGAAAGATTCCCAAAGGAGACATTCAAAAGTTTCAGAGATTTGCTTCAGGAAAGGAACGGTCACAAGACACTTGCTGAACCGTTGATTTCACAGTAGCAGTACTGGAAGTAAGAAGAAATGCTTGCCATGGCTTTAATGGAACCAATGCCCATGTCATTTAGTTGCTAGTGGAGCGAACAATGAGGCCTGGCTGAATTCACAGCACTGGGAGAGAAAGTTACAATGTATATGAAAATAACATTGCCCTAACTGTCATTAAGCAACTGCAGAAACCTGAGTAAACCCTTTCCTGCTTTTAAAAGTAGCTGCCAGTAAAAATCCCCAACAAACCAGTAAATGATTTTGATTTCCTAATGACTAACTAATCAGTACCAAGAATAACAGTAAGTTTCAAATACATTTTTCAGTCAAGACGTATCTTCTATACTATCAGTAAAACCTTTCTGTACATTCTACAGCATCAGGCACACACAGCAGCAGGTGGAGAAGCGTTTTTAGCTCCTATGCTGTGGATCCCTTCAAATTCAAAGACAGTTTCTCCACTAGTAGGAGCTGGAAATTGCATAAACATCTCGCAGCTTTTGAAAAACTCAGCCCATGTTTACAGAGCACAAATGCTCCCCAAATCTTGAATTATTTAACTTGAATAAAGGATCTTGCAATCTCCCTATAGCTGTTCCTGACATTTACGCACACATGTCAGCATCACTTCCGGTGCCATAATGCTGGTATTTTGACATTCTCTGTGCTGCCCTCTCTGTGTGTCTCAGTTTCAACGTGCTTAAGCTGTCATTTTTTTTTCTAGTGCAAGCAGAGCTGAGCCCTGGATTTCATGTACTGACAAGTTGAGGGATACAGCAGTTCCCACGGAGGCAGAGGATTGGAACGAGCATTACTTTTGCTGTTCATCCTACAGGTCACACACAACAAGTATGGCTGGGCAGAGAGTAACTGTGGGCCTTGGCTTCAGGGACAAGAGGAGTCCTTATGCTGCCTTCAGCCCGTTTTACACAGGAGTCAAGTCAGTGACTTCAGGGAAATAGCCCTTGCCTCTCACTGGAATAAAGCAAGAGATGCAAGCAGATGGTGTGTACTAGGAAAATACCTTCCGTTCTAATCCGGTCACGTACCCACACCCAGCTGATATATCTGCTGTTTTCACACCCTAGCACTAGCTATTGAAGCAAATGCATGATCATGGAGAGGTTGCACGGATCCATCTCCATGCAAGACAAAAAGAGTTGAATTGTTCCTATGTCCATTCAGTCTCTTGAACTGTGAGCAGCTGTGTCCCATTGCACATACTCTGCTCCAAAATCCCCGTGGTAGAGGCCATGCTACAAGACTGTACCCAAAGGGAGGAATCCTGTAGTGCTGGTGATGGGTTGGGCACTCTGGTAATTTACAGTCAAGTAATGGATGGTTTTCAGGGCATACTCGAGGCTTAAAGGCAGCGCACGAACAAGACTTTTCAAGCCACCGCATTTTCATTATTTCCAAACCTCACTGAATAACAGATCGGGATAGAAGCCCTTTGGATTAGCATGTGTCAGATTAGCTAATGAAACAGTTTAATCTTTTCCAGCGCCCAGTGTCCTTTGCGAGACACGTTCTACAGGTACCCTTGGCCGTCTCCTTGTGCATTCACATTCCTCCTTAAGTGTCTGTCCTGAAGCTCGCGAAGTCACCTTTAGCTCTTTCTCTTGACAAACAGGACAGCAAGCTGTAAGACCTTTGTTGCGACAACTTGGACATGTCAGGACAAGCTGCCGGCAGTGCTGGCTGGAACAAAGTTTATACTGGTCCCACAGTGTCCCACAGTATCTGCATGCTGGAGGGAGGAGGAAAAGAAAAAGTTAACATCCACTTGCTCCATCTGTCTTCCTTGCAGAGGGTTCTCTGTGGCACCAGGGGGCTGCAATATCTCATTTAAGTGGCTATCTATTGTCTTCCAGTTTTTTAATTCCTGCTTTATCTTAATCTTCTAGAACCTAGTTCATTTTTAATCTTTCAATTTTGATGTAAAAACCTAGGACAGCTGTATCTCAGGACAAGAAAAAACTTCTTCCTCTAGTTCCAATCAGACAGATTTAAAGATTCTTGCTGCCAAGAGAAGAAGACAGATATGCTGGTGGTAATTAAGCCAGTATGCAGGAACGTTGCCTGCTAGGCAAGGGGGTGCCATGAGACTTCCTTCCACCTAAAAGCAATGGCTGGTGCAGATGGGGTGTCATTTGCAATCCTGGTAGAGTCCTTCCATAACATCAGACAGGTTTTAACCCTTTAACTGAAAGCTACAGCCCAGTTTAGCTGTATCACCAAGACAGCGCCTACCCCAACACTTCCCCTTGAAACTTCTGTAGGAATGGCTGTGATGTATCCAAAGTGTGTCCTGTTTCTACACCAAGCCAAGCACCTTCAAGATGTATAGGGTAAGTGCAGAGGAGGAATGGGAGGTTATGCTCAAAAAGCTACCCACACAGAGAAAAACCAGCACTGCTTCCTAAAAAAGGCTAGAGCCAACTGAGAAGAAGAAAATAGGTACTTTGTTTGCAATATCTGAAGAGCGACCTCAGCCAGAAGACCAGGCAATGTTCTTAACTTCAACTAGAGGTCACTGAAATTCTATAGGCTACAGAAACTTTTAAAGCATGAAAATAACCAAGTGCTGTAGAGCTTAGTGCCACCACTCTCCCAGTGCCTGGCAGTCTGTGCTGACGTTCTGTGAGATTACTGGAGAGGAGAACAGCTGACAACAGGAGAACTATTCAACGCTTCGGTCACTTGGCCAACCACAGTCTGATCAGCAGTGTAGGCAACAAGTGGGTAATGACAGCAGTAGTGCTTGACCTCCGTCTCCATAGCAGCAGATGGCTCGTAACAGCAGCTGTTCTGCAGGAAATGCTTCCTTCTACTGCCCCAGTTTTAGGGAAGTCTGTTTAGTGACCCCATTTTCTCTCATTTCTGTTTTCTGTGCTAAAGCCATAAAGCTGGTGATCATCATGAAAAGTGACAGCACTAAAAGATCAAAGTGAGTATGAGGAAGAACTACACAGACCAGTTTGGCTATACCTATCCTGCACATCTCTGTGGAAATGATTGCAATAGCTTCCCAGCCTTCTGCACTTTTATTATCTAGTCCTACCTGAGATGATATCTTCATTGGAATGAATGGCGTAACGATCATCAAACACAAACAGCTTCCCCCTGTAGAATCCATCTGGAAACTCTTCCAGGTACTTGTGAATTCCACCTTTTAGCTGGTAAACCTCTCTGCACACTGCCTGTTTAAAGCATATTAGCAGAAAAGCTGAAGAAGACAGCAGCAGTGGTGGTGTGCCAGAGTTCTCAAAGCAAATGTAAACACCAGGGGACAAGGAAAAGCAGCAGCTTCTCATTGGCCATCAAACAACACCACATGCAACCACAACTCTAGGCAGTGCCACCAGGGACTACTGGGCAGCTCCACAATGCTGGCTTGTTGACACGAACCCAAATGTGCATTTAATGTTACAGCCAAAAAAAGGCTGGTAACCTCCTCAGCTGAGGGAGGTTTGCTGCATCACAGATCAAACGCTTTTAAACCTCTGTGAACCGCTGCTTATTCTGTTTTTGTGTACTGAGCTGTTAGCAGGAGCAGAATTTCTCAGGGTTCATATTGGTACAGCAGAGGAAAAAAAACAAAAAAAATCAAGGTTTAAATCTTTGGAGAACATATATATGTGCTGTTCCCTTGCTCCTTGAGGGAAGGATCCAGGAGAAGAGTGGGATGGAAAGCACAATTACAACAATGCAATGTGCTGGATTTAATTCCACAACACTGGGAAACTACCGACTGGCTGATTTTCACCAGTCCGAGATGCTTAAGCTGTGCAGTAATGACCACAGAGCCTAACCGAGACAGAGCTTGCGGAAACACTGCAGAATGCTCTTAAGCCCTCCTAAAAGCACGACAATGGGCATGGCAGACTTACAAATGCCTCTTCTGAGTAAACGGGTTATATAATTATTTTCACAGAGCAATCGCTGCTGTGACACTAGTCCATGCAGATCACTCTAAGCTGCATTAAACTACCCACGTCCTTGACATACAGCATGAGGCAAGTGTGCATTAGAGACGTTCATCCCCCCACCTGCTCACTGGGCAGTTTGTGCTCGGTAAGAATTTACCAGGAAAAGACAGCTGCCCTTAAAGCAGCCTCAATACCTGTGCCCTCGGAATGACATCTCACCTTGCTCCGTAGGTAAGCAGAGCCTCTTTCACAACGAATCCCTCCTGTGCAGTACATCAGGACACGCTTGTCTTTAAAAAGCTCCAGGTTTTCATCTACGTAGCTGGGAAAATAGCTGAACTTCCTGATATCTGGAGCCAGACAGCCCTGGAAATGTCCCTGCAATAACAACAGATGGCCTTGCCACTGGTTACAAGCAGTCTTACATGGTTAAGGTCTGTGCCTCAAACTAGAGGAAGTAACAAACCTTTAGGCCTAGGCAGTTCCTCAGCTGCATTTATGCAACAAAATACCTGTTAAAATCTGTAAGAAGATTCTGGATACCGCACGTCTCCTCATCCAAACATAAAAGAGGGAGCTAAGCAGAACAGAACTGTCAGACAGAGGATGAGCCAAACTAGTGCAAGAGGGCCAGTGGGTGTGACAGCAGAATGCCCCTACTCTTTTTGACATACAAGACACAGCAAAAAAGATGGAAAACATCCTTACAAATTACACTACTTCAAACTACATGGTGTTCACTGCTAATGCTGTATGGACCACTTTGTCTTCCTCTTGCCTCAAGCTGTGTAAGCACTTAGCCAGGCAGGCTCCATGCCGAGTAGCTGAGCAGGTCCTCTGGCTGCTTGTGTCTAACATTCATTACTACACTGAACTTTGTACATATTACAGTCAATCTGGAACACAGAATCTCTTCTTCCAGTAATGTTACACCCCCACAACATGAAATGCTTCCGCCAGCACCTGTAATACACTGCGAGAAGCAGGCAAACAACACTTACGATTTTACTTTCATAGAAGTTCCTACAGTCCAGCAAGATGGTATCACTTTGTCCTTGACTGGCCTGAGACAAATACTGTTCTACTTCTCTATGAAATTCTTGAGGGGATAAATGGATTCCTTTAACACAAAAAAAAAAAAAAGAAAAAAATAGAAGTGAGAAGCAGAGCTACAAAACAATGTTACGCATGATCTCACCGATACAGATTTTCCTCAGACACTCAAACAATAATTTTCTGTGATGGCTCACAGACTTTTCATCCTAGCTCAACCAGCCAAGTTTATCCATGTTTGGCTTCCTATTGGCAAATGAAAGAAAACACAATGCTGTTCCACATGACAGAAGCAGCAGCAGACAGGCGCCTGTCTCCATGATCTTTGTTATGTCCCCCGGGCAACTCTTACAGTTGTAAAAGAAAGAAAAAAGAGTGTAAAATGTTTCCCTTCCCTTTGCTCATCTTTTGTTACATTTGGAGACAGAGAAGTGCACAGAAATGCAGTTTTTCAATGAAACTCTTCTCTGTTGATAAAAATGGAAAACTTCCGTAAGCATGTATTACTTTCCTTGCCACTTCAATTTACAAAGTTTCTGAGCTTTCAGGTTGCTCAGGACTTAGGACTCCCAACCTTCTGAAAAACAAAAAACCTCCCCCACCAAAATCCTGCACCTTATTAAAAAATAACCCTACAAGCCACCTGCCTAAGTAATGGGAACTATCTTCAAAAAACACTGCAAAATAAGAGGAAAAATAGAAAAAAAAGGAAAGAAATATCCAAGTATACATCCCACAAACTGCCAAAAAATAGGTTAAAAAAAACCTACTCTGCCAAAACTACTGAAAAATATAGGGATGGGGAAAAACACACAAAAAAATGCTGTAGGAATTTACCACCAAGAAAACCTCTTGGTGTAAAAAAAAAGCCCAAGACTGCTCTGCTAATTGCTATTTGCTGTGCTCTGGCTTACCGCCTGCGTAAGTGTCCTCATAGCAGATGCACAGTCACTAACCTCTTATCAGGCATAACCCATACTAAGCAGCAGCAGGTAGCAGAAAACAAACGCAGCCTGTGTTAGGGGAGTGGCACGAATGTGATTCAGAACCTGGCTCTGCTTTGGTGTAAAAGGCAGAAGCATGGCTGTTAACTTCAGCACAAGGATTGTCAAGCACTGGAACAGGCTGCCCAGGGCAGTGGTTGAGTCACCACCTCTGAGTGTATTTAAAAGACGTGTAGAAGTGATGCTTAGGGACATGGTTCAGTGGGGACTTGGCAGTGTTAGGCTAACAGTTGGACTCAATGGTCCTCCAAGCTTCTTCCAACCTAAACGATGTTATGATTCTAAGTAAAGGCGGGTCAGCAGTCCCTAACAGAAGAACATGTATAGACTCAACTGTAAGCTTTAGTGGGAGTCTAACATTTTCAAAAAAAAGCTCTCAGCATCCACAGCACCATCAGAGCTCTTTATATGGTATAATTTCTGAGCAGTCTCGAGCACCTACAGAACGTTTAGAACAAGTATGAATATATTCATGCACTGAAATGTCTTTCCTAACCGTCCTACATCGTTTCACCTTACATCCGGCTTTATTAAGTGTCTAATGACTTACTCCCTGACTTAAGCACAAGGTATGTCCCTAACCCAAAACAAGGTAACTGCTGGATGTCATTTGAACTATTACTGTTTGCCACAGAACAGAAAGTTAATTCTAAAGTTTTTTGAGGCAGCCAAGCACTTAGCAAACAAAAACATGGGCCAGCAAATTCCCAGCATCAGTAACTTTTGACTACCAGTAAGAGATGAATTTCCTCATCTACTTGTCCTGTGTCCTGGCCACTGTGCAGAAGGAAATGTTTTTCATGAAGGTACTTCATTCTTCACTCACTTCTCACTTGGGTGAGAGGTTTTATTTTTGATGAAATCAGCTTACCAGTTTCTTTATAAGACACTATATTTGGATCAATGCCCATAGGTACAATTTCTTTGAATACTCCAACTCGAAGGTCTGGGAAACAGTGAGCTCCTCCTGCACTGCTCTAGGAAATTAAACAGAAAAACAGTCCACCAAAATTTGCCCCTACAGAGCATGCTGACCCTGACAGAAATATTAAATGATGTCCAGTAACACATCATGTTGACACATCTGGGCCCCGTGGTTCTCTTCAGCCCCTCCGACCCCTGACACAAGCACGCTACGCCTCTGGCTGTGCCATGTGCCATGGGGACTGCAGTGCTTCATGGGCATGAGACACATATGGGAGGTCAGCCAGGCTCAACATTTGTTAACAGTGAGTCTGACGCCTCTCGCCCCCCGAAACTCAAGTGCCGGATTTCCCCTTTGGAGGTCTCAGCAATCCCTTTTCCGTAGGCACCCTTGCCGCAGGTGACAGGACGTGAGAATTTGTGCCGGGCTGAGTCTCAACATGACTCAGGCAACATCGCGCAGATGGACACTCCAACAGAAGTGCAGTACTGTGCAGCACTGCCCCAGGTATCACGGAAATCAGCCTGCAGCAGCTACAGTGGCCACTGAATATTTTCACAGCCCCAAGTGCAATTTTCCCTCCTCCATGCCCATGTCTTCATGGCACAGGGACCCGAAACCCCCACTTACTTGGGAACACAGCATGCAGAGGAACGGTGAGACAGAAAATACCGTATGTACTAGCGCATGAATGTTGAGGCCCAGAGAGATCATGCAGGGTTGGACATTTTGCAAAGATGAAGGTAAAAACTCCATCCCTGTTCTGCTTTTGCATCTACATGTGACTGTAATTAACAGGTCACATTTACTCTTGCAATTCAGCCAAGTAAAACAGTTAACAAGCTAAGAATGAATCAGAACTGCAGCTCTACATGGGATTTGAGTGTCACTAACTCTCTTTGATCCAGTTATTTACAGAAAACAAGTACTTCTCCCTGCAAATAAAATTGTGTGGAAAAGAAAAACGCTAATAAAAGCAGCAGCTTTCCTTCCTCACAGAGGAAGCAGTACCTACAGTGCTGGGGCAGCAAAAGCCTACCAGAATGCCATACAGTGCCAGCCACAGCTGCCATCACCATGTGAAGACAGCCTTCAGCACATATGCTCAGGCTCAAGCAGAAGATAGCACCTCACTCTCCCTCCAGTCAAGCACTAACTGAAGCAGGGAGAAACCTCTTGACTCCTTTGGGATGATACACACAACTTGGGATGATACACACAACTGGAGTGCTGTGT